CCAAGTGAGCCACGGCGCCAGCCCTGTAACCTTTCCTCTTAACACTGCTTTTGCTATATCCCATAAGTTTTGATAAATTGTATTGTCATCTTCATTTGTTTCCAGAAATTTTTTGATTTCTTCTATGACCCACTGTTTGTTTAAGGAGTATGTTGTTAAGCTCCATGTGTTTGTATATGTTCTAGAGATTTCTTGATTTCCAGCTTCGTCATATTGTGGTCTGAGAAGGTGCATTATATGATTTCGATATTTTTGAATTTGCTGAGACTTGTTTTATGGCCTTGCATATGTTCAATCCTACAGAAGGTTCCATTTACTGGTGAGAAGAATGTGTATTCTGTAATGTTACGATGACAAGTTCTGTAGATATCTGTTTGGTCTATAGTGTGAATTTGGTCTATAGTGTTAATTAACTCTGATGCTTCCTTGCTGATTTTCTGTCTGGTTGATCTGTCTGTTGCTGAAAGTGTGATATTGGAATCCCGTTTTACTGTTGTATTTGAGTCTATGTCTTCCTTGAGATCCCTTAACATTTTCTTTAAATAGTCAAGTGCCCTGTAATTAGGTACATATACATTTATAATAGTGACATCTTCCTGTTGAATTGAAATCTTAATCATTACATAGTATCCTTCTTTGTCTCTTAACATTTTTTGTGTTAAAGTCTATTTTGTCTGATTTTAGAATGGCTCTACCAGCTTTTTTTTGTTTTTTGTTGGAATGGAATATCTTTTTCCATTCTTTCAGTCTGCATGCATCTTTGTTAGTGAGATGCGTTTCTTGGCATTTATTCAGTCTCATCATCTTCATAATCTAATACTGAAATGTTGTGTTCTTTTGGGGGTGTCATGTTGTCTTCATTGTCTTTGTTTCTTGGATTGTTTTGGCATTTGTGGAGATACTCATTGATTTCTTTGATTTTTTTTTTTTTTCTGTGGTGGCTTTTATCTTTGTCTTCTATAACTATTTTAATGGGATGTTAAGAGAGCATACTCTCTGCCGGTGCCGCGGCTCACTAGGCTAATCCTCCGCCTAGCGGCGCCGGCACACCGGGTTCTAGTCCCGGTTGGGGCGCCGGATTCTGTCCCAGTTGCCCCTCTTCCAGGCCAGCTCTCTGCTGTGGCCAGGGAGTGCAGTGGAGGATGGCCCAGGTGCTTGGGCCCTGCACCCCATGGGAGATCAGGAAAAGCACCTGGCTCCTGGCTCCTGCCACCGGATCAACGCGGTGCGCCGGCCGCAGCGCGCTGGCTGCGGCGGCCACTGGAGGGTGAACCAACGGCAAAGGAAGACCTTTCTCTCTGTCTCTCTCTCTCTCACTGTCCACTCTGCCTGTCAAAAAAAAAAAAATAAATAAATAAATAAAAAAAAAAAAGAGAGAGCATACTCTCTAAGTATCATGTTCAAGGTAAATTATGTATTACGTGATAATCAGTGTTTATGATAAGAGACACCTAAAAGTGCCTTTTATGACACTTAAAAGTGATAAAATAAGTATGAAATGATTGAAGTAGTTCAGTAATATATTACTTATAAGAAATTATTTTGATTGTGTTGACATACATCAAATGATATGCAAAAGCTGTGGTTGCAGAAACAAATTGTAATGTGTGGTATATGAATACCCAATTAAGTAAAAAAAAATGCTAGTAGGAAGTAAAAAGAAACATCATCTAACTTCCTGAGAGAGGATTTAGGAACTTTGTGAAAGTTTTTGCTATGTATTTTATCAAAACATTAGAAACTGAATTCTTAGGTGCTTCAGAAACTTTTAATGCCAGTGTTCTGTATATACAACCCTCTACATGGAATGAATTTGAATACCTTCCTTTTCAGAATGAGATGTTTTGATAGAAATTTGTAAAAGCAATGCTATAATTTTTTTTGTTCTTTTTTGAGTCTATTGAGAACTCCACAGTATACTTATACTTTGCTGACTTTCACATAACAGTTCATGTACACTCAGTGTTGATCTTTTGGCATAGATTGTGATGAATCTAAAATTGGATTTGATGAGTTATAACCATATGTACATAAAAAAGTGATCCGTTAATATAGAAGTCATTGCCTTTTTGAGGTCCGTAGTGACAACATAATGTCATAAGTAGTTGGTTTAAAGTTAGGACTGAATACTAATGTAAGGACAAAAACTTCAGGTTTGATTAAGCACTTGAGATCAATAGGCATTAGTAGAGATGTCTACCGTACTGTCTGTTCTTGCGGAGTGATAATTCATCCCATATTTTAGAAGTGATGTTGCTGAAGTTTACTGAATCTTTACATGGGAATAGAAGATGTGAAGGGAAACAGTCTCAGAAATCTACAGGCAGAAACAAGTTGTGAATGGGATGAGATTCATTGGAATATCTTAATTTTAGATATGCTGTATCAGTATATTCATGTGCTATTAGTTTCTACTTAATTTTTGTATATTAAGAGTTAATAATTGATAACATTATTTTATAAAAATGGTGTTTGCTTGTTGTTATGAAGAGATTGTTCATATTTTAGTATTTAAGGGAGTCGGAGGGTGTTTGTGTCAACATTTGGTTATTTATGGCTAGGACAACCATTGTCTTTATTTATGTAATTTATCAGTGTTGTTACCTTGATTCTTTTAATCTTGTAACACAGAAGTTGCCCTTATTTTATAGAAAATTTTAGTAGATCCAAAGGCATTTCTTGCTCAAGGTGTAGGGAAGTTGGGAAAAATTCTGTTTAGTTGTAAAACATGGTAGAGTAAGCTAAAAGCAAACCATTCGTCCCCAATACTTTTCCGAAGCTCTCAATTAAATTGCTTTTAATTGTTTGTACGTGATTAAAGTATGCTCTTCATACTATATAGTATAAGCAATTTGAAGGTTTTTTCTCTTCATTTTAAAATTTTCTTTTATTAAAAGGGATGTAGCTAATTTAGAATTGAGCTCTTTAAGGCAACTGCTATCAATAGCAGTTGCATTTTGCTCATCTCTTTTTTTGTGTGTTGTTATATGTGCTGGTAAGGTGACACACCACTGAAGACAGACTAACTACTTCTGGAGTAGGATGCTTCTTGCTGTGCCTTTGGGTGACTTAGACATATTGTGTAGCCTGTTTTCGAGTTGTTATTTGCCCATCTGTGGAACAAGAGTGAACGTGCTTAGTTTAGTCAAAAATTTAAATGAAATCTGCTATTCTTTCTGGTTTTTAGCACAATGCCTGTGATAAATGTGATTAATAAATAGTCTGTGTATGTGTTAATATTGCTGTTAATGTGTTAATGTGACATTTTTGTGCTATGCTTTCAGCGTTATTAGAAATAAACCTGTTGGGGCCGGTGTTGTAGCGTAGCGGGTAAAACTGCTGTCTGGGATGCCAGCATCCCATCTGGGCACTGGTTTAAATCTTAGCTTCTCCGTTTCCAATCTAGCTCTCTTCTAATGCACCTGGGAAAGCAGTGGCAGATGACCCAAGTACTTGAGACCCTGCACTGACATTGGAGACCCAGAAGAAGCTCCTGGGTCCTGGCTTCGGCCTAACCTAGCTCTGACCATTGTGGCAATCTGAGGAGTAAACCAGCAACTAGAAGATCTCTTTCTCTCTCCTTCTCTCTAGAGCTCTTTCAAATATATAAATAAAATCTTAAGCAAAGGAGAAATAATCCTTTTCTGTTCCATTTTTTTCAAAAAATATATTTATTTGAAAGGCAGAATTAGAAAGAAAGAGAGAGATCTTCTTTTTTATTTTTTGAAGGTTTTCATTTAATGAATACAAATTGTCATATGTACTGCTTTTAGGGATATAGTGTTTCTTTCCCCCCATACCCACCCTCACATCCCACCTTCCCTCCTGCTCCCATTCCATTTTCCATTATGATTCGTTTTTGACTTTATATACAGAAGACCAACTCTATGCTCAGTAGAGATTTCAATGATTAGCACCCACACAGGCACACAAAGTATAAAGTACAGTTTGAAGATGTTTTACAGTTAATTCTCATAGTACAACTCATTAAGGACAGAGGTCCAACATGGGGAGCAAGTGCACAGTGACTCCTGTTGTCGATTTAACAACTGACACTAGAGGGAGATATCTTCTGTCTGCTGGCTCACTCCCCAAATGACTGCAACAGCCAGGACTGGGCTAGGCCAAAGTCAGGTGCCTGGAGCTCCATCCAGATCTGCCACTTGGGTGACAGGGTCCTAATCACTTGGACTGTTTTTTAGCTGCAGTTTTTTTTTTTTGGTTGGAAAGACATATGAAAAGTTTTACAGAACACTTGTTGTATTTGTTTATTAGGCTATCATACTGGTAAAGATTACAGCAGTAATAATCCTCATTTGAGTTCTTTGGGCTTCTTCCTATATGTTGCTTAGTTGCATATGAGTATTTAGATACCTTTTCTGGGACAGTTTCATAATATTTATCAAAAGGATCAAAACTATTATAAAGTTTTGATTTATTCATGCTTTAGAGTTTATAAGATGTAATCAGAGTTGAGCCCACTTGTTGGAGCTCAGTGAAACTATAAACCATTGCCTGTTAGTTGGTGTACTAAATCCTTAGAGTTGAAAAATAATCAGCTATTTAAAATATATTTTTTGAAGAAATATTGGTAATAAGATGTAGAGAATTTCATTCAATAGTGGATTTTCTCAATAACAACTTTATCTAAAGTATATAATTATAGTGCTGTTTACATTCATGTTTGTATTCACAGACAAAGATGAGAGATGTACCAGTGTCTAATAATGGCAGTCTCTGTGAGATAGGTGTGGCTGTGCTTTTCTGATTGTGCTTCTCCCAGTTTTCTCTAATAGGTTTGCTTTCCTTTTATGGAGGTAACATGTTAAGCACCTTTTAAGTTTAGAACCTCTTTATTAATACAGTAAAAGTCCATGCTTACTAGTTGGGTGATGTAACTCTTTGTTAATCTAGAACATGGTTACAACAAAATCTTTACAAGGAGCAGTATATGACCCAATTAGACAATAAATACATTTCTTACAAATTTCGTGTTTTAGAGTTCAGCCCCACTGTTAGACCTGCTGGTGCTGACGGAGTCGCAGGCACGAGAAGAAACAGATGATATACGCGCTGCTGTCAGGCAACAGCTGCAGAAGGAACTGATTGCTCTTTTCAATACCCTGCTCCTCAGCTTCATGGCTGTCACTGACAGGTACTGTTTCAGCATTGAAGGTTTGGGTAGTTTTCCTTTCATTTCCATATTTACACTTTTCACTTCCTTACAGTTAAGAAGTGAAAATACTTACGTAATAATCAGTTACGGTCGTCTCTTTGTTTCTGTTTCAGTTGAGTCTCTGGTATGACCTGATTGTAACTTCTCAGATTCCTTCATTGCACACACACGGACACACATGCACATGTGCACACACTTGTACACACAGATAATGTGTTGTTCTCTAGAGTTTATTTTATGGTATTCTCTTTCATTCTCCACACTTCTACCTCAGCATTTATGTCTGTTCTTATAGCTTGATGAGTATTTTTACACTGCTAATTTTCAAATGCTTATTTCTGATTTTCTTTAATTTAAAAATTAAGATAAAAGTTTAAAAATATTTTAACCATACTTTTAAAAAGTATGCAGTCGAGTTGTTTTTAGTACTATTGACAGCATTGTGTACCTGTCACCACGATCTAATTCTGGAAAATTCTATCACCCAAAAACGAAGCTTGTGTCCATGAAGGAGTCTCTCCCCTTTCACCCTTACTTGCAGCCCTGGCAACTAGTCATCTGCATTCTGTCTGTATGAATTTTCTCATTTAAAATATATTACATAAAAAGAATTAACAATATGTGTCTTTTTTTGTCTAGCTTTTTTCATTTAGCATTGTGTTTTTAAGACCCATCCATGTTGAAGCAAATATGAGTACTTAATAATTTCTATGAGAATATTCTGTGGATAGATAATATTACAGTTTGTTTCTCCATTCATCCATTTGTGAACATTTAAATTTTTTTATCCTTTTGGCTGTTGTGAATAATGCTGCTATGAGCATTCATAGAAAGATTTTTGTGTGGGCATAAGTAGGAGTACAGTTGCTGATTTATGTGGTAACTCTATGTTTAATATTTTGAGGGAGTGCCAAACTACTTTTCATAGTAGCTAAACCACTTGACATTCCCACCAACCAGGTATGAGTGTTCCAGTTTCTCTATATCCTTCCCAGCAATTATTGTAACAATGCTAATAGGTATAAAAATGATGTTGAACATTTTTTCTACTTTCTTACTTTCTTTTGGCTGTTTATGTATCTTCAAAGAAATATCTATTCAAGTCCTTTGCCTATTTCAAACTAGGTTGCTTTATTGTTGTTAAGCTGTATAGGGTCTTTGCATATTTTAGATGTTAACTCCTTATCAGATATGTGCTTTGTAAATATTTCCTCCCATTTTGTAGATTGCCTTTTCATTCTCTTTATAGTGTAATTTGATACATAAAAGTTGTTTTTTTTATGATGGGTGTTTGGCCTAGTAGATTAGATACCACTTGAGGTGTCCATATCCCATATTGAAGTACGTGAGTTTGATTTCCAGCTCTGCTATGGAGTCTAACTTCCTGCTAGTGTGCCCCCAAATGTCACCAGATGATAGTTTAAGTAGTTGCATCTCTGTCACATGCAAGACTCAGGATGAGCTCCTGGCTCATGGCTTTGTGGCCTGGCCAAGCTTTGGCTTCTGTAGGCATTTGGGGTGTGAGCCAGCAGATGAGACTTTCTCTGTTTCTCTCTCCTTCTCAAGTGAAATAAGTCAGTAAATTAAAAAAAAAAAAAAAAACTGAAAAGTTTTTTATTTTGCTGAAGTCGCTGTTGTTTGTATGTTTGGCATCAAACTCAAGAAAATGTTACATAATGAGAGTCATAAAGATTTAGTCCATTTACCTCTATGAATTTATAGTTGTATTTCTTACATTTGGTCATTGATCCATTTTCAGTTAATTTCTGTATATGGTGCAAGGTTAGGGTCTAACCTTAGACTTATGGTTCTATCCAGTTGTGCCAGGACCATTGTTGAAGAGACTCTTTTCCCCATTGAATAGCTGTTGAAAATCAATTGGTCATAGATGTTTGGGTTAATATCTGGACTCAATTCTATTTCATGATTTATATGCCTACCTTTATGCCAATAACACAGTATTTTGATTACTGAAGCTTTGGAAAAGTCTTTAAAGAAAAGAGGAAATTAAGAAAATACTTCCATTTACAAAAGCCATAAAGAAGAAAGAATATTTAGAAATGAATTTAACTAAGGAAATGGAACACTTGTATGCTGATAACTACCAAATATTGTTGAGAAGATTAAAGAAGACTTTAATAAATGGAATGGCATCCTATGTCCATGAATTGAAAGACTTAATTTTGTTGACATAGCAGTATTTGCCAATGAGATCTACCAATTAAATGTAATCCCTATCAAAATTTCAATGGTCTTTTTGCAGAAATAGAGAAGTTTGTCTCTGAATATAAAAAGTGTTTTGAAAAAGAACAAATTACTCATTTTGTTCTAGTGTATTGAAATACAACTGATTTTTGCATGTTAACCTTTCAGCTGTAATAATTTCTTTTGGATACCTAAGGATTTTCTACGTTATAAAATCATCATCTGCAAATACAGACAATTCTGCTTCTTCCTTTCCAATTTGGATACTTACTGCTTTTCATTTTTACTTGCTCTAGTTGGAACTTTCAGGACAGGTAGTGAAAGTAGGTTTCCTTGTCTTGCTTCTTAATTTTTAATTTATTTATTATTTCTTTTTTGACAGGCAGAGTTAGACAGTGAGACAGAGACAGAGAGAAAGGTCTTCCTTTGCCATTGGTTCACCCTCCAATGGCCGCCGTGGCCGGCGTGCTGCAGCCGGCGCACCGCGCTGATCCAAAGGCAGGAGCCAGGTGCTTCTTCTGGTCTCCCATGGGGTGCAGGGCCCAAGCAATTGGGTCATCCTCCACTGCACTCCCTGGCCATAGCAGAGAGCTGGCCTGGAAGAGGGGCAACCGGGACAGAATCTGGCGCCCTGGTTTTTTTTTTTTTTTTTTTTTTTTTTTTTTTTTTTTTTTTTTTTTTTTTGCTGTATAGTATTGTATAGAGTACATGTCCCATAATTTTTTTATTCACTCTACTGTTGATGGTCATTTAGGTTGATTCCAGGTCTTAGCTATTGTGAACTGAGCTGCGATAAACATTGTGGTACGGACAGCTTTTTGGTTTGCCAATTTAATTTCCTTTGGGTAAATTCCAATGAGTGGTATGGCTGGGTTGTATGGTAGGATTATATTCAAGTTTCTGAGGAATCTCCAGACTGACTTCCATAGTGGCTTCACCAGTTTGCATTCCCACCAACAGTGGATTAGTGTCCCTTTTTCCCCACATCCTCGCCAGCATCTGTTGTTGGTAGATTTCTGTATGTGAGCCATTCTAACCGGGGTGAGGTGAAACTTCATTGTGGTTTTGATTGAATTTCCCTGATTGCTAGTGATCCTGAACATTTTTTCATGTGTCTGTAGGCCATTTGGATTTCCTCTTTTGAAAAATGTCTATTGAGGTCCTTGGCCCATCTCCTAAGTGGGTTGTTTGTTTTGTTGTTGTGGAGTTTCTTGATCTCTTTGTAGATTCTGGTTATTAACCCTTTATCTGTTGCATAGGTTGCAAATATTTTTTCCCATTCTGTCGGTTGCCTCTTCACTCACCTGACTGTTTCTTTTGCAGTACAGAAACTTCTCAATTTGATGCAATCCCAATTGTTAATTTTTGCTTTGACTGCCTGTGCTTCTGGGGTCTTTTCCAAGAAGTCTTTGCCTGTGCCTATATCTTGCAGGGTTTCTCCAATGTTCTCTAATAATTTGAAGGTGTCAGGTCATAGATTTAGATCTTTAATCCATGTTGAGTGGATTTTTGTGTAAGGTGAAAGGTAGGGGTCTTGCTTCATGATTCTGCACGTGGAAATCCAGTTTTCCCAGCACCATTTATTGAATAGACTGTCCTTGCTCCAGGAATTGGTTTTAGATCCTTGATCAAATATAAGTTTGGATTGATTTCTGGTGTTTCTCTTCTGTTCCATTGGTCTATCCATCTGTTTCTGTACCAGTACTACGCTGTTTTGATTACAACTGCCCTGTAGTATGTCTTGAAATCCGGTATTGTGATGCCTCCAACTTTGTTTTTGTTGTACAAAACTGCTTTAGCTATTTGAGGTCTCCTGTTTCTCCATATGAATTTCAGCATCATTTTTTTTCCAGATCTGAGAAGAATGTCTTTGGTATTTTGATTGGTATCATATTGAATGTATAAATTGCTTTTGGGAGAATGGACATTTTGATGAAATTGATTCCTCCAGTCCATGAGCATGGAAGATTTTTCCATTTCTTGGTATCCTCTTCTATTTCTTTCTTTAAGGTTTTGTAATTTTCATCGTATTTTTGATTGTTTTTGTAGCTATTGTGAGTGGGATTGATCTTAGAAGTTCTTCCTCAGCCGTGGCATTGCCTGTGTATACAAAGGCTGTTGACTTTTGTGCATTGATTTTATATCCTGCTACTTTGCCAAACTCTTCTATGAGTTCCAATAGTCTCTTAGTAGAGTTCTTTTGATCCCCTAAATAAAGAATCATATCATCTGCAAAGAGGGATAGTTTGAGTTCTTCCTTCCCAATTTGTATCCCTTTAATTTCTTTTTCTTGCCTGATGGCTCTGGCTAAAACTTGCAGAACTATATTGAATAGCAGTGGTGAGAGTGGACATCCCTGTCTGGTACCAGATCTCAGTGGAAATGCTTCCAACTTTTCCCCATTCAATAGGATGCTGGTTGTGGGTTTTTCATAAATTGCTTTGATTGTATTGAGGAATGTTCCTTCCATACCTGATTAGAGTTTTCATCTTGAAAGGGTGTTGTATTTTATCAAATGCTTTCTTGGCGTCTATTGAGATAATCATATGGTTTTTCTTCTGTAGTTTATTACTGTGGTGTATCACATTGATTGATTTGTGAACATTGAACCATCCCTGCATACTAGAGATATATCCCAATTGGTCCAGGTGAATGATCTTTCTGATGTGTTGTTGCATTCTATTGGCCAGAATTTTATTGAGGATTTTTGCGTCTGTGTTCATCAGGGATATTGGTCTGTAGTTTCTTTCAATGCTGCATCTTTTTCCGGCTTA